ATTGCTAACAATTTTCTACTTTTATAAAATTACATACATACGTTTATCTAAACAATTGCATTAAATACAATAAATGCATTTCACTAAATTATTCAATACTGTATTCGTATCTAAAAAAAAAAACACAATTGAGCATTCGTCAAGTTCAAAGTTTTGGACATCTTAATCTATAGGTGTGTGTGTGTAATATACATACATATGTCCATACATAAGTATGCAGTGTTTTATATCATTTTTAGCTGACTTCAAAAAAAGGAGGAGGTCGTTTCTCAATTTGTCGGAATATATTTTTTTTTTTAATTTATGTTTGGACCACGTTAACCTATAATTATTTTTTTTTAAGGAAAGGTGGAACCTCAAAGCTGGTCCCATGCTAATATGGCTTAGATCCGATCATTGGGTCATGAAGAAGTTAACGGTACTCTTAAATCTTTATATGGGAATTGAAGTCAGTTAACTTTTATTATTTTTTACTTAAAAATTACTTGTTATTACTTATGTCGTTTTTATGCATTCATATATACATACATACACATAAATTAACGCTATTGCTTTCGGTCAGTGAGCCATTATGTGCGTGTTATTGTATTTGTGCATTTTATTTTCTTTATAGTTGTATACACTCTTTTATAACTCACTGTAAATAATACACTGCGCACTATTTCGATTATGTTTGTTGGCAGACAATTTTAACGGTTTCTTATTCTGGATTTTCCTACATAAATTCTACTCATTAGCTAGTTTATGAAAGTCGTTCGGAAAATATACCTACAGATGGATTTTGTTAAATGTTTGTTAATTTTATTTTATCAAACTAATGTGATAAAAATAAACGTATGTAAACGTATGTATAAAAAATGTTAATTATAATATCAAATGGTGTATTTAACCATCAGCTAATTTATCTCTCCTAAAACCAAAGCAAAATAGCAAAATATTCTTAAAATATAATCAAATTTAGTTATATGCATTTATTTTTAATCCGAAATAATACTGGATTTTTTTTTTTTATAATAAACACTATTTTCTTGTTAATGAGCGAGATCCTTTTAAGCTAAACGCTTAATCTTTAATAGTGTCTTATTTTTTTTCCTTGGCAAATGTTGCACTAAAGCTATCGAAGGAGTTTAAAAAATCCAATTGTAAAAGGCGAAATCAAAATCCCACCATTACAAATACGAATTTAAGCTTTAAATCCTCATGACACTTTTAAGGTTCATACATCTGTTCTTCAAAGACATCCATATTATAATCCTCCAAATTTGTTGTGCTCGGATCATGTTTCTTCATCATGTGAGCTAAAAAAAAAATACGAAAAATAACATTTATTTTATTTTAAAAAAGCCCCAAAAATTTAGTGCATTCACTTACTTTTGAATTTCATATGAGTTACAAAATTTTCGCCACACAAATCGCAACGGTAGTAAGTTTCGCCAGTGTGAACACGTTCGTGCACGCGCAATGATTTCTCGAAAAGATAGGCACGTCCACAGATTAGGCATTTAAAATTTTTCTCAAGCACTGCAAGATCGACATTTTATATTTTATTAAGTAGTAAAAAAAAAAAAGTTCAGTAAACCTAAATAGGGTTAAATAATATAAAATATTATAATAAAATATATAAAGTAAAACAAAACAAAACATAACCAAATAAAAAGAAAATAAAACTCTCACCTTCATGACTCCGCTTATGCTGATTCAGCACATACTTCAACGCAAAACCCTTGCCACAGACATCGCAAACATTTGGCTTCTCATTCGAGTGTGTCTTCATGTGCCAATTCATATCTTGCGCACGCTTGAAACGCTTCGCACACGACTCAACCGGACACTTGTGCGGCCGTCCAATGCTCGAATGCACTGCCGCATGTCGCTCCAAAGCCGATTTCATATTGAAACGTTGCGCACAAATTTCACATTGGAATATGCCACTATAGTTTTTCTGACGCTTATTGCGCACCACACGCTTATTGTTGGCTATTAGCAGCACCGACGATTTGGGTCGTTCAATATGTTTGCTTCGAATATGTTCACTTAACTTGTGTTCATCGTCGTAACGCTGCCGGCAAAGCATGCATTCGGTGCGTTCGATAGTGGTGAGATTTTCCAAATGATTCTCCAACATGTGTATACGTTTCTCCAGATAGGAGGCGAACACTGCATGGCATGAAAATAATAAATGGTAGTTTACTTAGGCTGCATACGTTTTGCTATTAGAAGCATTCAGAAAAATTAAAAATATTTGGACCACATAATGAGTGCTGAATATGAAACATTCGATTGGAGAGTGGCTGTGTGCTTTGTGAGGATACATATGTATATGAGAGTACATAAAGCCTTCGCCTAATAATATTCAAATTAAATTTCGATGTGTAAACCCTTTTGCTCTCGGTATAGGTGAAATTTGCGTTAACCAAGCTGAAAATGTGTAACAGATACCTACCAAAAATTTAACCCAACAGAAAATTTGTAATTTTTCAAAAGAAATACCTATGCTTACTATTTGCACTTGGGTTTTTAACGTGTAAACATTTTTGCTCCCATGGGCGTGGGCAAAATATGCGTAAGCCGTCACGAGTAAGCCAAGACGAATTTGGAATTAGTACAAATAAAAACAAATGTAATCAGCTGTTCTAGCAATACTGCTCGTTGATATAGTTCGGGACTTTTTCGGGACCATTTCCGAACTGCTAATTGTTATAGTTGGGAACAATTTCGGCATCAGTTCGGTACTACTTGACTTTTTTGATGATAATTTCGGGACTAGCAGGATCAGTTAGGTACTAGTTCAAGACGTTTTTGATACTATTTGAAATAGTTTCGGGATAAGTTCAAGATTTTTTTAGAAAAATTTCGGGCCCTTTTTTTAACCGACTTCCAAAAAAGGAGGAGGTTATCAGTTCGTCGGAATATTTTTTTTATTTTTTATTTTATTTTTTATATTTTATTTTTTATTTTTTTTTATGTATGTTACCGCATAACTTTGGACCACGATTAACCAATTTCGATAATTCTTTTTGCATCGGAAAGGTAGCGTCTCAGAGGTGGTCTGGTTGAGATCCGATCAGTGGATCATGAGATATATATATATATATTTTTTTTTTTATATGGGAGTTGAAGCCGGTTTTTTGTTTGCTAAAAATTACTTGTTTGAGACTAGCTTGGTATCAGTTTGCATTAAATGTGTAGAAATAATGAATACTTTTTCATAAAAAAAAGTTGTTTAACGCGAAAATGGCAAGGAAACTGGAATTGCGGGATAACATTATTAAAAATTTTCAAAAGGAACCTGATTGATTAAAAAATTACCTAAGAGATGGATTTTATCATAAAAAAGGCTTTCGGGTTGTTAATTGATTTAAATAGAAAATATCATATGATTGCGATAAAGGAAATTGTGACCACAACAACGAAAGATCCAAGCATTTCAAGGAGAAAATTGACAAAAGATAAGGTTAAATTCTTAAAAAAAAATAAAAAAATAATAATTTTTATGAGAATATGAGCCATTCTTTTTTAAATCGGACGGATTTCGTAAAAAAAATTATATCATGTCTCCGATTCGCTTACAATTTTTTTATGGGTACTATATATGAAATAAGCTAACACGTGTTCGAGGATTTTTTTTCTTCGGAGATATGATCTGTCGAGGATCGGAGATATGATCTGTCGAGAAGACGGGAAATACTTTTGGGTGGATTTATCTTATCTTCCATGACAAAAATTTCATATAGCCGATTCCGGAGGAAATGCCGCTGAAAAACTGAGTACAAAAAAGTGAAAAAATTTGCAAGGAAATCCTTGTTTGGCAGGCGCCTGCATTTGTGGCAAAAAGTAATTTATTTTTGACATCGGATACAATCAACAGTGGTGTATATGTGTAGGAATGCTTACTTCACCTTCCTGGCCAGATTGGCTTTTAGTCGAGTCAACGAGCGCTGGGTGGACTGTAGGCAGTGAAAGAGACTTTTAAAGCTGACTAAGCGCTAACTTTCCACCCAACAGCAGCACTGACAATTCATTGTCCAAAAGAAACTTATACGATACTACTTTATATCGTTTGTGACCCCTATTTTCGTACCCGCATGGAGAACCAAGAAAAGAAATCGTCTCAGTTCTTTTTTCGCAGCTGCCCTGCTTTGTTACGCTAAGGCTCGGATCACATTATATCTATATGTATAATATAACTTTCCAAGAATTTTTTGAAGTTGGCTTCAAACGCCTGCGAAATTTTATTCTCAGAAAAGTCTCTCCATTCAGTAGCACAATGGACATTAAGAAATCACACGAATAGGACTGCCACCTAGCCCAATCTAACCTAAAAGTTTCTCAGGGCTGATAAACAAGAGCTCGGCTAGATAGAAATCTTCAATTATTTATTGAAGTAAAAAAATTTCATAAAAACCTTACAAGGTAAATAAATTTGGAGTGGTAAAATGTCTGTGTTTTTAGGAAAGTGATAAGATTTGTGTTTATCAAAAAAATAAAATGTAATTCCCGGGTCAAAATTCATTGACTAATAGTTCAAACAACGTGCAAGATTTAAAAACAAATGTATGTATATATGTAACTTAGGGAGGTCCAAAAATACACAGGAAAACCAACTTTTTTTAATTTCTCCACTGTCACCACCATAACTGAAGAGTTTCGAAAATAAGTAGACCCGTATCTTAGAAGACTTAGATAGTATTCCATATATTTTGTGTGGGAAATATAAATTTTTTCGTCGTATTGCTATATAATCGTTACAAATAAATATTTTTTTCCAAATATTATGCATATTTAAATTAAAAATTATTACTATTTTTCATAATGCGCGTGTGTCGTTTACGAACACATAAAATAATAGATACGATTATCAGGCATTATAAAGTAGTAAGTTTAATTTTAAAATTATATTTGAATCATAATTTTATTTTTCAAAAATTTCTGAAGGAAAATATTCTTATTTAATAAAAGAAATATGTATTTGTAACGATTCTATGGCAATTCTACGAAAAAAAGTTAATTTAAAATCCCCGGCGGCATGGGTAAATATTAAATAGCCGATTTAAAATTTAAAAATATGGGTCTCCTCATTTCGATATTCTTCAATTCTGAGGGTTGGCTGGAAAAAAAACTTTTGGACCACCCTAATGTACATACATATGTATGTAATTATTTAAGCCTTAAGGCACTGTATTCATGTGTAGTATGTATAGGGTAGCATAAGATTTTAATTTCAAATACAAAGTTTTTTACTTTTACCATTTCAAGTGCTTAACGAAGCTCTAACTCTATTTTCACTGCTAGCAATATTCGAAAAATGTATCCGAATGTGGCGAACGATAAATGGATGTATGAATTTTGGTCTGTATGCATTAATGAATTTATGTATGAAAGCATGTTGTTATTTTGCTTAAATGAATTGCAAAAGCCGGGTAAAGCCATGCTTACCCTCAGTGCAATGGCCGCACTTGTATGGTTTTTCGCCGCCATGTTGTCGATATAAATGCCAACGCAAAGTTTTTAAATGTATGAAAGCTGTGTGTAGAGAAATTATTTCCTGTTAAATTTTTGCATTAACGATAACTGAAATCACTTAAAGAATTAAATAGTTATCTAAACAATTTACAATTGTTACCATATCTTCATCAAAAGAAGGAAAGCCAATTTCAAGCGGAGATGCTAATGGAAACACCGAACATGAAGAATGAAATACATACTGAAAAGACGCAAGTCGATCGTAGGGAAAAATAGTGCTAGTTAGTGCAACCGAGAAAAAAAGAACTGCACTGGAAAATGCATTAGTTGCCGAATACGAGGCAATTGTTTGTAAGATGGGTTCCAAGAGGCACAAAAATTCAGCAGGACGCAAGTCGTTGTTCCCAAGGTAAGGATTTCGGACAAGCGCGGCGAGCTCCCCAGAGGGGCCCAATGGAGAGCACCTGGAAACCCTGAAACCCCATAAGAGCATTAATGAGAGATTTTATTGGGTTGGTTTGCTGCAGTCGGTCAGGCAGTGACCGCGCTAGGTGATCTGAAACCAGACGATCCAAATCTGTGCGTCATGAAAATACGAAGCGGCATAACTCAGATGCAAAGAGTGCCCATTAAAGGAGACGTGGTCAGTGACCGGCAGAAGCAGACCACTCGAATGGCAAGAGTTAAGCCGGAAGCAAGGTCCAGTAAAGCATCGAACCGAGAGGGCTTTCCTTTAAGGCAATCTGGTATTGTTCTACCAGTAACTAGGAAGGAACTAAACAAAGATGTGAAACGGATTGAAGATGTCGTGTAGCATATCCAGACCGTTGGATGGCTGCAAGGCAAAACGATAATGGTCCGATCGTTTGGAACAACAAGTGTGTTAAAAAGTGTTAAACGGTATTTTGCGCGTTTTTATTTCACAATCCAGTGTCAAGCCTAAAGGATTTAGGAAATCGTCAAGAAATCAAAGATAAACTAACACTATTTTAACCGTTATTTTACGTTGAAAAATTTTAAGGCGCTACGACGCCTAACACGTCTTGCGAATCCCCTAATTCTGTGATTTACATTCTGGGTAGCGGTTATCATATCCGTCTATAATATGGAACATGACACCTTCTAAGGTGCGATTATTGCGGTTCTAGCTGTTTCACTTAATTTAGATATGAAGAACAGAGAAATTATCACAGGAACCAGGTAAAAATACAGGAATAAGTTGTATCCCGCCGAAGTTGAAGATATTCCACAAAGATTACTTTTTTTTTTTTTTGTTCAACTATTTATTCAAAAGTAAACTCTAACTTACGTAAGTCTACTTACTTTTCCCACAGAAGGTACAACACTCACTATTCCTCACGCCGTTGTGCGTTTCTTCGTGACACTTCAAGTGTCGTTGATTGATGAACAGCCGATCGCATTGGCTACATTGCAACACCAATTCCGGATTATGCCACTTCATATGATAGTTAAGACTTTTACGCGAATAGAAACGCTTTTCGCAAGTGTCACAAGCAAAATCCGTTTCACTGTGGAACTTCTCAAAGTGATGCCGCAAATTGAAGCGATCGGCATACTTTTTGCCGCACACATCACACTCATAATGTTTGGCCACATGTTCGCTTTTCATGTGGACCGTGCGTGAGGCGGCGTCGCGAAAACCCTCCTTGCAACCGCGCTGCGGACAAGTAAACGGGTAGTCAGCATTATGCGCATTGGTTATATGTTCGAGCAGCGCCTGTTGTGTCTGGAAGTGCGTACTCGGTATATCTCTGCTTTTGTGGCAGTATTTACACTCGAAAACAATGCTCATATCCGATTGTTGGCCTATTCCTGAGTTGCTGAGCGCCGACGCTTTAAAGACAAATTGCGGTGCTGGTATGGTATTGTTGTTTGTATTGTAAGTATTCGTTGGGAGTGTAACCGGTTCGAATGCTTCTAGCACACCTTCGTCTTCGTCATAATCGTCATAATCGTCGTCGTCGCCATCGCCGTCGCCGTCGTCCTCATCTTCAACTGCTTCTGCAAAAGGCACACTCTCTTCGACATAACCTTCAGGCTGTGCCAGATTTCCGCTTAGGTCGGATACAATGCAGTCAGCTGCAGCAGTGTCATGGTCTAAAATTACGTCTGTCGCCACTGCTGTGCCTACTTGCTCCTCCTCAAGTGTTTCATCGAGCGTGAAATCTTCCTCAATTATATCATCCACATGCAAATGAATTTGTTCGTTCATATCTACTTCGTTTACGTCTTCACATTCATCTTCTTCTTCAGCTATTTCCACTTCATCTTCCGCTTTGTTTCCTTCTTCTGCCATTAATTCCGCGCCCACATGTTTGTCGACCACCAGTGTTGTAACAGGAGCAGCCATTATATTTGAAACATGCATTTCCGCTTCACTTTGACATTCAACGCCGGCAGTGTAAAAGTTAGCTTGAGTTATAGCGGCAGCGATTGCATTATTCTCGTTTGTTAATGGCATTGTTTCTGCTATGACAGAATCTTGGATTGCTTTAGTTGAAACCTCTATTTGGTCTGCTGAAATTGCATTCACATTCAACAGCTGTGCAACGACCTGTCCACACTCTTCACTAGCCGCAATAGTGGTGATGGTATTGGTGTTGGTGGTGGTGTTGGTGGCGGAGACGGTGGTGTAATTATTATTACTATTCTCATTTAGCATATCCAACATAACAATGGCAGCAGCTGATGGAGTAGCACTCGCCGAAATGGGATCGTCAGCAGCTGTACCAGTGGCAGCACAATCATTTGTTTGGCAGTTTTCGTCGTTACTCGTTGAATTTGTTATTTGGCGTGCATTTTCTTCTACAATTCGCAACAGCTGGGCGCTCAATTCTTCCAAATTATCATCGAAGCGGTCATCATCCATGCTTTGCGTTTCGATTTTATCGAAAATATTACTTAATTTCATTTGCGCTTGTTGGCATTGCAGGCGAAAGGTGAACACATTGCAAAATTTCGAAAAACAATCGGAGCAGATTTTTTGCGGTAGGCCGTCGTTGGGGGAAATCTAAACATAAAGCAAAAAATACATATATCTATGTACATACATATCTGTGTACAAATGTTTGGGTAATTTCGTGGGGGGTGCGTAATTGTTAACTACATAGTAAACGTTAGCGGAAATGTATGTATGTGTGTGCGTATGTATGTAAGGGGTTTTCAATTTATACATAAATGTCGTTGAGTGGGTACTACCACTCCTACAAAGCCTTGTTTGTTTTGCGGGTTGGGCATGTTTTTTCTTGAAAAAAGTTGTGTGCAGATCTCACGCCCGACTGAAGTGAAAATTCTTCCGATTACCCGCATTACCACATTACATGGTTTAATCTTAATCTTAATATTTATCTTTATTTTTATGTTTACCTTTATCCTAGTCATAATCTTAGTCTTAATATTAATTTTAATCTTAAACTTAATCTTAATCTTAATATTAGTCTTAATGTTAGTATTAACCTCAATCTTAAACTTATTCTTAATCTTAATTTTAATCGTGATCTTTATATTACTCTTAATCTTAATCTTAGTTTTAATCTTAATGTTACCCCTAATTCTAATCTTTGTCTTTATCTGAATCTCATTCTTAATCTTAATCTTAATCGTAGTCGTAATCCTAAATTCTTAACATTAATCTCAAGTTTAATCTCAGTCTTTCTTTAAATAATCGTAATCTTAATTTTAATCTTAATCTTAGTCCTAATTATAATCTTAATCTTGAACTTATTCTTAATTTTAATCCTAACCTTAATACTAATCTTAATCTGAATCCTAGTCTTAGTCTTAATCTCAATCTTAATCTTAGCCTTAAAATTAATATTAATCTTAGGCTTAATCTTAGTTTTAATCTTCTCTTAATTCTAATCATAATCTTAGTCTTAGTCTTAGTATTAGTCTTAAGCTTAATCGCAATCTTAGTCTCAATGTCAATTTGAATCTCAATCGAAATCTTAATCTTAATCCTAATCTTAACAATTGGAGAAGAAACTCATTCAAAAAATAAAGGACGAACCAAATATTTATTTAATTGAAAGTCGTTTCGTCTATGGAACAGCACTTATGTTCACCGGAATTGAACAAAAAACCCATGGTGAAATTATACCAGGCGTAGTAGTAAAACTGCCGTCTCGTTTTATATCTTATAGACATTTTTTCAAGCATATTTTCAAATAAGATAGTGTCAAATACTTCTTCTCGCTCTTATTACTAACTTGGTATAATTTCACTATGCCAAAAAAACCCAGGACCCTCCTATGGTTGTGCCTGTCTATAAAGCTTCAGTCACTTCAAAAAGTGCTCGGCTCACAACAGCTGCAAAAAGTGGCAAGTCTGCTGTTGCTTGACCCCACCAATACCAAACTCCGGATTCGATAGAGTCACGAGAAGCACGCCTAGTACCATCATCCTCGAGCAAAGCAATCTTTACAAGCTCCAAAAAAAAAAAGTTTATGAATAGCTAAAACATCTTACAAACCAGTAGATTCACAATGTCATCCGCAACGGCCGCCTATTGCGCCACTCGGTGCAGTTCAAACGACTCACTCTTAAGATTAAACTAAGGATCCCTTCCTTGAGTGCCAAGATCAGGCAGTCACCTCAGAAAACCCAAAATGTTATATCTTAAACATATACATTCCTTCATGCAACAGCTGAACTAAGCTATCACCTCGACATGCTCTTGTTTAGTAATTTTAATGCTATGGCACTCTAACCTGGAGAAGACCGCTGTAACAATTCATCTACGTTGGTGGAGATACCAACAAGTACTCTCTGCAGAAGCTGCCGCGATTAGGATCAATTGAACACTTTCGGTGTCGAAGTTCGGGCTTACAATCGGAGCGCCCCAAGCACTCGCGTTCACGCCTCTTCAACTGTCTAGACGAGATAGCGAGACATGAAAGTACTTAGCAGCTTCCTCCTGACATTCACTTGAAGAGGCTACTCACTATGGACAACTTTGTCTCCGAGTGAAAGTATGGAATATTCCATACACGCCTCCTTAGCTAACCTATCCTAGTAGTATTATTATAGTGTTGAGAGTCTTACCCCAGCACCATACCAATTTAAAAAAGTTAATGGTACTGGTCTAAAATTTCCAGTGTGTCAGGCGCGATCGGTGAACAGCGAAATCACATTTGCCAATATTGAAACATTCTTAATTTAAGTATGTATGTATTTATGTATGTATGCATGTGTGAATGTAGTTGGTTTGTATTGCTTTCGTTTTCGTTTTGTGCTACCTGCAACTGCCAGTTATTGAACTCCACACGCATCTCTTCGATTTCGCGCTTACAACGCGTTGTATGAAATAAATCGAACCATTTAGTTTCGTCTTCAAAATCACACCTCGCACAGGTCCTGCATGTCTCCATCGTGGCACCAACATAAAAGCGCACAGTGCCTGATCGATTCTACGAAATTCAATGACGCAGTGGTTACACCCTTTTTCTTCCAAAGCGACGACCGCAAAAGCGCTACTCGACACACATTTGCACTTTTTGTCTTTTCGATTTAGTTGCAAGCGTACAAATTGTTCGCCGAACTTTTAGATACTCAACTTGCACAATTATTTATTATGACTATATCACAGTCGCACTACAACTCCGTTGCCAACTCGAATTCAATCAACTATCTGCCACCGTTCTAAATTTTTATCACTTTTTTCCACGTTTATTTAGCACACATTTTCCATCAAATCACAACTGCACCAAACGATTGCGAATCTTTCACTACAGCTGCTTGCGCCACCAGCCGCACACAGTTACTGCTATTTTCATCGAGCGCTTTTGCTACTCTCGCTTCTATTTGTATCTACACTCGGGCGCAGCACACATCATCCTGCGGGAGAAGAAAATCTGTGTGAAAATCTCGTGTGCCTTCCCGTTATTGCCGTGTAATTTGAGCAGCTCTGCGTTCGTCTTCTTCTCGTGTTTCTTGCACTACTGGCATTGTTGTTGATTTTTCGAAGTATACTTGGGGGCGCGCGCGCTGTCGCCGACCTTCAATGTGTTTGCGTAGCGCGTGTGCAGGTGTGTGTGTGTGTGTGTGTCTGTGTTCGGTTTACTTTTCGCGTGTTCGCTTTAGCGCTTTTCCGCAAAAAATAAACATGTACAGGAGCAAAACAAAGTAGGCGATTAAATAGTGAAATATTTTGCAGCGCTCAGATGTTTCGGAAAGTTCGTTGCTTCGCTTTGCATCTTTCTAGCACACACGTCCATACATACATATGTACATACATGCAAGGAAGGCAATGTAAGAGAGCCCTTTTCCTGCTTCTTCTACGTGTTTGTTTAGTTCTTAGACGGAAGGAAAGTTTGTTTACAAACTCTTTGACTTGTATGTATGAATGTATGAAAAGAATGTTTATATAGCGCTTAAAAATACGCAAATATCATTTCAAGTATATTTACTTACATGTATTGTACTCTTAATTAGACTAATACTACTACATACTTAACTACATTAATATGTATGTATATATGTGCAGTGAAATTTCTTTAAGTCACGTCAAGAATTTTGTATCGGCCCGGCAGGAGTACCAACTCTGACAATGGAACAAGCAACGTTAACAGTCTTATATCACCTTTGCGAAAGGTCAGCACTGGCACGTAAAAGACATAAAATACTAGGTAAATTCTAAAGCGGATTTCTAAATGATTCATAGTTGACATTATTAGCAGGTTCCTCGCCAAGTCCAAGGGTTTTGAAGATATAATGGAATCGGGATGGCAGATAGCATCAGGGGTTCTAGAGAGAGCGTATCAGAATGGTGCTTACAACGCTAATTGGGTCCTGAGAAAATGTTTGGGCAACGATGCTACCAATCAACAAACCATTCAGGCTATGCAGAGCATAGTCACGCGGGGAGTCGTTGGGACCTTTTGGAGGCAAAAAATGTAAATTTAGCTATTTTTGGTTTTTCCAGCCTATAAATCATTTGGTAACGGAGGGCAGGAATAGTTTAGGGAGCTTTGGAGGTCATCACTACGACTCTGATGGGAATTTTTAGAGGGTGCTTAATACTGCCTTTATACTTTTTTATGGCGGAAATGCGCCCTAGATCGTCCTAAAGGTATGCAACTTTTTTTTTTTTTTTAATCAAGCACAAACAACACACATATAGAAATCATAAAACCAAGTCTGAACACACTTGATAAAAAGGCGGAAAAAATTGTTTTCGAAATTGCTTTGAAAAAATACTTCGAAGAATATGTAGAGTAGTGGCCAGTTGAAGCTTGCTAATATTATTTTTCTCGGAGTAAAGAATGTCCTATATAAACAAGCAAAAATATGAAAACTCAAAGGCATCCCTTTATGCGCTCGTTTCCATAAAAAATTTTTTGAATTAGTACAAAATCACATACATACATGCGTACATATTAGGGCGGGTCAAATTTTTTGCATCAAAAGCTCATCGCGGTTATGGTTATTTGGGTCATTTGAAGCATTTTTTTCCCAAGAAACCATAGGTCTATCTTTCATTTTTATTTAATATGTAAGAAAAAATAAAAACGAAAATTAAAAAAAAATTTAAAAAGAAATTTCAACGCTGATTTAAGTCTATTTAAAAATTTAAGTTGTATTACGAGAAAGTCTAATTTCGTGGATTTTCGCAACAATTTTGCCGATTTTCGGAAAAAGGCGTTAAAATCAAAAATAAAAAGTACGTAGGTGCTCCCTGACGGCCCTCAAAAGAAAAATTTAACGCCATAAATGGATTCCTCGACCCCAAAACCCCCCGAATACACATTTTGGCTAGTTCTAAATACAGCTGTTTCAACAGGTAGCCACTTTTTGAAAAAAAAAAACTAGATAGAAAAAAACGCTGGTTCAAAATTCATTATAGACCTATGGTTTCTTGGGCAAAAATTCTTGAAATTACCCAAATAATCATAATCACGATGTGCCTCTGTTAATATTTTTGGGCCCCTACAAATCGGCCCGCCCTAATAGATATGTATATGTACATACATATGTATATGCGCAACGTGGCGTATGAGTAACAAATTTTTTTTATTCTTGCTAAAAAGTGTTAATTCACAAACAAAAGTATTGATTATGGTAAAATATTAACAAATACATTTTCTATCAATAGTTCAGGGCGTCTCCTAACGGGACTTTATAACGGCATTGAACAGGGGTTTAGCACAAATGCAAAAATTTGACACAGAATCTGTTATTTTTTAAAGTCTTCTTCTGTTAGTTTGATTTTTTTTTTTTCATTCAAAAAAAACTGGAAAGATTAATTAATTTGTCAGCAACTATCAGTCCTATCTCATTTTAAGATTGTTAAATTGCTTCGTAAAATATACGTGATTAAGTGGAACCACTTTTTGTTTTGAGCTGAATAACGGTAAATTGCAAATATCTCGAAATATCCATAGATAAAAAAAAAATTAACTCGATTTTCGGAATCACCAAGCAATTCTACATAGGAATTGGATAGTGGCATCCATAGAACATTTTTGCTGTAAACCAGTATTTTTAATAATCGGAACTTTTATCTGACCACCTCTGTAAATCGTACTGCCAGAGCAAGTACATGGCGTATGAGCGACTTCTTGTAATATTTACACACAAACATACACACATACATACATACATAAATATGTGCCGAGGAAAGTAAACAATTAAAAACAAAAAAAAAAAAACTACTGAACCCGAAATTGCGGCGGTTACTGTTTTGTGTAAGCTAGGAATTAAAATTAGGTTAATTACCAAAAGGAAATAAGTCAGATTTTTTCGATGACAATTTTGATGCAGTTCTGTTCGTTTAAAAGAGCTCTATTGAATTGCATGAAATTTTCCGTATCGGAAAAATACTGATATAGGTCCAGTTTCTCAGTGTCTGGTTAACACTAACTGCATGTTTAGCATCATTATCGATGTTTAACCGAAAATTAGTCCTAACCAGACATTGAGTAATCGCTTATTAACCGATTCATTTACCAAAATTTTCTCCGAACCGGTTCACTTTTCACTCTTGGTTTCCATGGTTTTACTATGGGCGGATGACAAATTTTCGGGTTAGTTTTTTTTTCAGGCGAAACTCAGGATAAGGCTGAATATTTGAATTGAATAAGAATAAAAGCGAATTCTATGTAAACACTTTCCTTTTTTCGATTTAGATTTACCTCTGGGTATAAACTAATTTGTATTTCTATTCGCTTTTATACCTCTTTAATCACCATCAGTTGCCCTTTTTATTTTGACGATTGTTATTCATTCCAAAAGCAGAGGGACCTTTCTCAACATATGTAAGTCTTTGATCCCACGACAATCGGGTCTACATTACCGGAACGACCCAGATTTATGGCCAAGGACTGTCACTCCGGTATCATCTCTTAGATCTCTTTATTTATCTGAAGCGATCACAATGCATTGCAATAACTCCCTGTCCATCGTGCTAAACTTACAAAGTGAAAATGGATACGAATTTGAAGTGAATTACTGCACATTGATATAAACTATGGCCAGCTAGATGTTCAGACGCATTAAATAAAATGCCATTTAATTGAAATTATATATTTAAGTGTAAAGAAATATTTGGAAAACGCACCTAAGACATGTCCGTTAAGATCGTAAAAGTATTTAGCATTTCAACCCATTAATATCAGCATCAGGTTGCGTTACATACATAAAATTATTAATTGTATTTTGTTTATTTATGTACATATGTATTTATTCATATCACTAGTATGTAGTTAAGCGATAAGTGTTCGCACTTTTTTTTACAGAATATTACAATTTTAATGGAATTAACATTTATGTACTATGCATATAGTGCTTGCATTTTAATTCTAAACTTCCATACATTCAAGCTGTTTAGTATGATTTTAATATAAAATAAATTAGCTGAATAACAAGCGGTGATTACAGTGACTAACCACTGACTATTCAAATCTATGCATTTCAACAGAATCTACATTGGTAAGATGCCCATTTGTTGGAGGCAATGTCGTGCGGAAATCAGTTTGGCTTCTTTTTTCGTATTTGATCCCTGAGGCGGTGTGTAGATTTGTCCATTTATTGTTACAGAAAATAAAAACATTCTGCTGTGCGATGGTCCAGCCTCGTTCACAAGCGCATACATCGGTGGAGTCCACTTACGTTTCGATGTTAGTTCGTTTAGCAAACAAACTGGATGCTTTCCCAATATCTCTTGTTGCTGCTGCATCACATTTTGAGGGCGTCGTCTAGGCATTTTTTGTTTGCAACCGTTATTATCGTCACGTGCGACCAAACCATGTTTATCTAACTTCACATCAAGCAACAATGGCTGCAAAGACCCAGTTTTATCTCGACCCAAGCCTTCTCCTGGTTTCCAACCCATTTTCTGTAACAATTGCATACCCATGCCGCCAGTAACTGGACGCGAGGTGATTAACTGATCTCGACGTGCCCATGCCTGTGGTCCAGAGCTCAGTTCACGCGTTGAAAGTACATTGGCCCCTGTGCTGCCGGTAAATTGGCCAGGTATATGTTTCGATGACGCCCAAGAAGTCATATCTTTTTGTGAGTTGTACATCATTTTAATAGCCTCAGGGTCCATAGGATTATCCTATTGAAATATTTATTGGTACGCATTACTGTATAAGAAAATAGTTTGTTTTGCATAAGTGTTACCTGTAATCGCCGCATTGCTTGTAAACGTTTTGAAATAATACTTGAAACGTCGATTTGTGGCCCAGAGTGATCGGGAAAAATATTATTGCCCGCAGTCGCAGTATCTGTACTGGATGGAACGGGCACGTCGGGCACAAAGGTTTGTTGCGTGTTTGCCGCTGGTACAGATTGTGGTGGTGGTGGTACAGTAGCTGTGAGTGACGGCATCAAATTTTGCGTCGCCACAGCGAAGAATGGTTTGCTAATCACTGATGCATCTAAACTGGGTGTAGTCTCAGCTGACGGCATTGGATCTGGAGCAGGTGTTGTTGTGGCCGTCCCTGCAACATCACCATTCACGACCACTTTGGGCTCTGCATCATTAGCTTCAGATGCTGGTTGAACTGGTTTGAATGCTGGTTCTTGTTGCTCTTCGGGTACAGGCTTTTCAAAGACATTCTTAACGACATTGGTTTTAAATATGCTAGTTGCCTGCGTGGCTGCGGGCAATGCTGGCAACGGTGGCAAATTTTCCTTCGGAACCACGGGCACCCATGCTTCAGTCATTCGATGTTGCTGGCCAGACGATACGGGAAACTGCATCGTTATGGCCTTTACCTGTTCGCTTGATGTGTTTCGGGTCTGCAGTGATGTAGCACTGCGTATGTGCATGACAATTGGTTCGCGTTCTTTTAGCTGGAAGGGATGATGAAATGCTTTCGTATTACCACTCTTATCGACGTCGGAATCTTCGTCGGAGCTGAGATCTGACAGATTTTCGCCGTTAGATATTTTCTTACAAAAATCTGTAAGATCCTGTACAGTCTTGCCGCCGTAACGCATTTTAAGCAACACTTTGTCCTTGATTTCCTGTGACATTCCGTCACAGCCAGGCAAATTTCCGCGCTTGAACATGCTGATAGCGTTTTTACGTGCTATTTCGAGAAGTCGCTTCTTGTCGATACCTAAATCTCGTGAACGGGAGCGCGAACGACCGCGGCTGTGACTGTTCCGCTTGTTGTGGCTTCGTTCGTCTCCGCGGTGGTTTCTTTCGCGCTCTCGTTCACGATCACGGTTACGATCTCTATCTCGATCTCGGCTCCGACTTCGCTTCATTCCCGCGTAGAAGCTGTTGTGTTGACGTTCCTTGGCGCGATCATGAGCAAATCGATGATTTTTCGATTCCCCACTGGCATGACGATCCTTAAGATAATCCTCCTCTTCATCAGAAAGTGATATTTCGGAAACATGTCCATTACGGTTATCACGTTTGTGCGTAAATTCCCTGGGTTCTTCTTTGATTTTTACTCTACTCTTATTTGATTCATATTCGGGATAACCATTATAGAAACTGTTGTGTTTTCGATCCTTTCCCTTATCCTTCTCTCGAGCTTTTTCGGCGTCTCTCTCTCTATGCTTGTCTCTTTCTCGATCTTTTTCATGGTGCCTATCACGTTCGCGCCCACGGTCGTTTGAATGGCTGTGGAACGTATTGCTATCATCTTCAAGACGCCTCTTTTTTGTCTCTGCTGGAGCTGAATGACTGCTGGAGTCAGTAGTATGTCGTTTGTGTGATCTACTATCACGACGATGGGCATTTGCTGGTTCTGGTTTAACTGACACTGCCGAATGTGTCTTCTTTGGATCATCTCTTTTCTTATCAACCGATATATCCTTGCTTTTTGTCCTTTCTTTAGATTTTTCTTTGTCTTTCTTATCCTTTTCTTTACTCTTGCTTCGTCCTTTGTCCTTTTCGTCTTTATGCTTGTGTTTCTTTTTCTTTTTGTGTTTTTGTTTCGACTTCTTTTCCTTACCATCGTCGGCTTCATTTGATTCGTCGCTATCAGTATCACTACGTTCGCCTTCAGATAGATCCTTTTCCCGTTTAACTTTCTTTTTCTTCTCTTTTTTGTTCTTTTTATGTTTATGACTTTTCTTAAGCAGACTTTCATCATCCAATAGTTCCTCAGGTGGAGCAGCGTTAAATACCTTGAAAAGCTCTGCGAGTATTTCGTTCGAGGACTTTACCGGTTCAATAGATTTTTTATCTTCATCCAGACTAGTTCTTGTAACAGTAGAGTCTCCGTCGTTACTCTCACCTTTGTTGTCATTGTCTTCCCCAGTACTGTCCCCATCGTCATCTTCACTCCCATCTCGACCAGCGTTATTTTCGGTATTACTTTTACCGACTTCTTTTTCGGCATTTTTTGCCTGTGAAGTCTTCTTTTTGTTGTCGGATTCAAGTTTGATTACCGCATTTGCAATGGAGATTGCGCTAAGTTTTGCTTCAATCTCAGGATCGAATTTTTCTTGCTTAACTTTAACTTGCTGCGCTGGCTCAGGAATATGTGTGCGTTTCTTCAAAGTTTTTTGCTCATCCGGCATATTTGCTTAGCACTCTTTAATTTCTACAGTTTTATAGCTATTTTATTATAGGTTTAGATCTTACACATATTATTTGCCAGGGTAAATATACATAGAATAATTGTAAAAAATTTTATTTTCACGGAACATTTATATCGGAAACTGCACTTTTTTCATTAAATGTCAAACGCAAAGGAAAGCAGGAGCAACGGAGCTGCCATTATGAAATGCGAATAATGCTACAAAGCAAAATGTCAAAACAACATTTTTTAGGTATTTTATATTAGGGAGATACATAACTTATGGCAACAAGCATTTGGTTAAAAAATTAAAAATAAGGCTTTACTTTAAAAATTCTTTAATACATTTAGTACAAATCGAGTATACCAACCTTTAAGCTATGGAAAAACTAAAAGCTCAGGCCCATAGTTCTTTTTACACTGATTTCAATCATACCAAAATTATTTGGCGCAAGCATAGAACGTAGACCAAAAATTGCTTCACAATATCCTGGTTGATCTGTCAAACAGCCACTTTACGCACCTATTTACACCTTTTCACAAAGGGGTGTTCCCATAAAAGCCTCGTAAACTAACGAGTTTTACACGGTCTAAGACTTTACGAGTTTAAGGGAATCCCCTAACAGGCTAACCTAATATTCACGCACGCCGCCAATTTATTGTCAAAAATTTCTCATGCACATGCAACTTAAATGAGATCAACCGAAATTGAACGGCGTGCGTATGAAGCTAACTCAATTTCCAATTTTTGTTCTGCGTGACATTTTGATTTGACGTTTCGCTCAATGAAATCAAATGCAAACGCATGCAAGTCAATTTCGGGTGACGCAAATAAACAAATTCGACGGCATGCGTACCAAAACGCAAGCCGCGAATATTAGGTTAGCCTGTAAATAAGAAGGGACAATTCGTTATAATTGTAGCGAGAGTGAGTTACAGGGGCATGCCTTCTCTCTTGCCCTAGTACGTTTTCTGATTGGATGAAAAGAGAACGCACGCCCTTGTTACTCTTGTTATCTACATTCTTTGACACAAGAAGCGCAAGTAAGGCTATCTGCACACTTGTCGTCCAATCATAGTTGCGTTATCGTCTCGCCCTGAAATTTTGAGCCGAGCACATGCATTTCAAAGGAGATCTGCACACTTGTCGTTATCGGCTAGTTATCGGCAAATCGTAGAAGATGCAGAAACGGATAAGTACGGCACTGTCGTTTGCTAATCGTTGTGCACGCATTGTTTGTTTACATTTTATGGGGGAAAATTAGTGAAAAAGTTAATATTTGCATTAAAATTGTATAAAAAAGAGTATTTTTTTGCATAAAATCTGTGGAAATTATTAAAAAGTGGATAATTGCATTAAAATTTAATAAATATGAGCGTTTTAACTATAAAATATGACGAAATTGTATTAAGTCTCTGTGTGCATACACAAAACACATTCCAGGAAAAGAAAAGAAGAGATATTACTGGAAAATTACGTCTAGAAATGTTGCAGCACAGTCTATATTTAAAAAATTGCAGGTTTTTGTAAATATTTCGCGAAAATATCAACCAAAAAAAACAGAAAATACCTGCTCCAAGTGAATTTTTAGACGCCAAATGAATTGAAATATCACGACCAAGTGTGCAGAAGTGTAATCGTCATGTAATCGTTGCTTCATGACGATAACTATGACTCAACTATGATTGGACGACCAATGAGCAGAAAGCTTGAAAACTAAGTGGATCTAAGAGGCTAAAATTAAATTTTTCGATGTTTGAATATTTCAGTATCTTATGAACTACATGACCAATAAAAAAAGAAATGATGTAAAAGTAAAGACAATTAATTTTTCTTTCGGTTTATGTACAAACTGTTTCGTATATTTCCAAGGGCCAATTTCAACTGAATATTTAAATGGCACTTAAGTTTAATTGTGGACTGTTGTTTAAATGCCATTTAACTTTCGTGGGGTTTCAGATCAACTTTGTTTAAATATGCCAAACAATTGGCAGCACTGCTGCTTGTTCCTTGAAATTGTTGTTGCATTTGCTTATTTGTTTACATTTTGTGCTGAGCAGCTGGGATTGATTAAACAACCTATCAATCAATCTTGATTCTTTGGTTCAAACACAGGGTTGCATGACTCATATTTAAATAGCCAGTATTGGTCATTTAAGTGCAGATTAAATGTATGATCTGAAAATGAATAGTGGTAGTTAATCAACAATCTCTCCTTTTAAATAGGCAAACTGAAATTGGGCCTAAGCCAAAAATTAAGAAATTTCTTAATTATTCCATAAAATAACAATTTTTGAGAAAAATGCATGATTACTGCTAAAGAAATTTATATTATTTGGAAAGGTTTTTAATTTAATTTGATATGCATATTTTGTTATGATTTGCTTTTCAGTTTTAAGAATCCAACAAAAAATAAATAAATGTTGTATTATGTAGTTCATAAGATATTAATATTTTAAAGTATCGAAAAATGAATTTTAACCTCTTATATCGACACCTGGGTAGAAAGTCCACCTATCTCGGAAGCCAATTCGAAAACGCCCTATCTCAGAAAACTTTTCACGATCAACCTATTTTAGAATTTTATTGAAAAACCCCCCCCCATCTCAGAATTCGGTTTAAAAATGCCCTATCTCGGCTGCCTTATCTCAGGACATCTGCAATACATTTTCATTTGAGATAGGGCATTATTCAACCGGCGTTCCTGAAAAGTTTTCTGAGATAGGATGTTTTCGAATTGGCTTTCGAGAAAGATCGGCCTTCGACTCAGGTATCAATATTTTTTACTTGCGCCAAATAATTTTGGTATAGATGAAATCAGTGTAAAAAGTGCTATCTATCTGTTTTTCCATAGCTAAACGGTTAGTATACTCGATGTGAAAATTATGTAATCAAGATGCAGTCGTTATTGAAAACAACGCAACAACACGAAAGTCTCTCTTATCAAAACTCAGCCGTTAAATGGAACGAAAAATTTATTATCATCTTTCAAGAAAAATTAAATACAAGGCAAATTTAAATAGCCTGAGTGCATTTGAAAAATAAATAAACTCTTGATATAATGACATAAATCAAGCAACGTGGTGTCCCCACAGGCACACGTTTTTATCTTGGCAATGTTATCAGACAATATTTTGTCAATGGAGGCCGCATATTGCTCATACAATACATACAATCGAGCAATACATACAATCTTATCTTGGTTTCTCGTTCGGACATTAATACTTCAAACATAATTGTAATTAGTAATCAACTCCTTCGGTCCACAGCAATGGAATTGATCACCTTTTTAATTCCTTATAAGTAGTTTCAAAAGTATTTTCTTGATTTTGAATTCCATTACAAGGAATTGCATATTGTATTTGGAATTAAATACATGGAAGTGATGTTTTTAACACTGCCAAAATTCGTTATATGACTTTGGTGGTACTTTGCGAGCCTCCTTGATATATTTTTTAGGCGTTAGGAGTGAACGTCAAAATGAAAGCTGAAATAAGTAAAAAAGTTAAAGTTCGGGCGGAGCCGAATATTAAATACCAGCCACAAGTATAAAATATAGTTTGTTCTCTTTTCCAAAAACTACCGCTGTTGTTCAGTTAGACATAATGTTATAAATTTATATAGTTATGTATGTATATCACGTCTATTTTCCCAAATCCCATAATAATGTTATTTGTTTTTAAGGAATTGTTGTTATTATCAATTTTGAGTCCTTAAATTTCGAAATATCGTTGTTTGAAGCCCACTTTCCAAAATTTTATCATAAACGTTTTTTTTGCTAAAGAATTATTACAAACACCAATTTTGAATAAATTAGCTTCTGTACTTCCTGATTTATGGAAGATTTCGTATTTCTCTAAATTACCGTTATAGGGGATGTGAGCATGGTTAATGTACGATTTTAAAAATTTTCAGCCGTTTGGTATATTTGCCAATGAGGCCAACAACTGTGCCAAGTTTCGGAAAAATTGGTGGGGCGGTTACCAATACATACACATGCAGTCATAAGTGGGCGTGGCTACGCACATTTTCCAAAAATTTAAATTGTAAATATCAATTTTGAGTGAATAAGCAAATTTCAACATGACGAACAGAAAATCAAAAAATGTTGCGTTTTTGTAGAAATTTCCCACAAACGACTTGTCAAACCTCCACAGAGCCCTCTTAATGGTACAATAGGTTTGCGCTAAAAACATGAACGAACGACACAAGATCACCCAAGAACAAGAGTGAAAAAAGCAGGTTCTACGCCAACTTGTTTCGCTCGTAAACGAAAGAAAAGTAAATAAAGCCAAAAAACAGCGAAAACCAAAAGTGACCAAAAATTATTGACAGCCAATTTTATAACACAATTTAGGTAAAATTACCCATTAAGATGCTTTAAAACGTGTTGTCATGTGGAATTATCTTTTCTTTAGTTAAAGAAATGTGTAAAATAGTGGTGCTTGTGATGTGAATAAATGCTCAGCTGACGAGCCCGCTTTCGCAAACTTTTTTCTAAAAACCAGTTATAAATGGATCGTCGCGTTCTTGCGTGATCTTGTTGTTGATTCATGCGCTAAAGAGAAATTTTGTCTTCTTTGATAAACCGCTTGTGCATTTGACTCTTAAGATAATTGAATTTATTTAGAATACGGCAACTCTACGTAGCGAAAGAAGTGATATACCGGATGTGCCATTCGGTACTAGTTTGTCACTCGCTCATTACTCGTTCCATTACATCGAGTTATGAAAAGAATTTTTAAACGTACTTGGGGACGGTCGTGACATTTTGTATATTTTAACTTCTTTTGAAAAACGTAAAAATTTGAAAATTCGCTTTAAAGTGATAACGTAGTAAACGAGCATTGTTTTTTGATTACAAATCACTATTAAAGTAAGGAGTTGAAACATAGGAACTTCTACATTTTTGGTGCTAATTATCTTCATTTTATTTCTCGGTGGTTCTCCTTTGTCATCGCTCTTCGTCGCCTCTATCGTTGGTTCGTCGTCTTCACGTCGACGACAACTCGTGTGCCCGAACCATTCCAACGTGCCTTTGTTTTGGCGACGTGCGTGCGTGTATGTGCACCTTTGTGAATTTCGTCGTTTGCTAAAAACTCGCCGAATATCTGCAAATTCGTTAATCGCTACTCGCTGAATGTCTGACGATTGCTGTCTACATTTTCATTTATTACCTA